ACCAAGTTATTAAGCAGTATAGAGTCCTCATGCCCAAACTGAGGGCCACATTCAGACCTGTGATTTTTGCTGTGAAGCCCTTTGGAGGCCCAAGCAGTTAGCAGGGGAATCCATCATTTGTAAAGAGGCTTTAACCCCTTCACACAGGCTGTACCGCAATTATGCGGTCCCAATGGACTGGGCCTTTTTCCGTGGGGCTGCTAATTTGCGTACCGGTCTTTACGGTCCAGTTCTAATGATCAGGACCCAGAACTCCCGATTCTGGGTCACCTGATCCCTGTGATTGGCTATCACAATGATCAGTCACTGTACTGTGAAGCCTGCCCCCATTTTTTCTCTCTGAATGGAGGAGAGAGATACGTTGTATCTCTCTCTGTATCTATCTCTTTCCTTTCAGGAAAAAAAAAAAGTGTGTGCAAAAAAACTAAATAAAAATAAATTACCAAAAAAGATCAAGGTTTGATCTACATCAGTGTCAGGGTTAGTGTTTGAGTCAGAGTCAAAGGTCAGGGTCAGGTTGTTTTGGTTTTTTTTTTTTTAAGGCCAGGATATTTTTTAATGTTTAAATTAGTATCAGTGGCAGGATAAAAAGAAAAGCAAAATGCGCATTACTGTTCTGGGCTGTACTACGGGTACAAACAACAACTAACATACACCTATGTGGTATCGCTGCGATCGGCAGAAGCGAGCGGGAGAATTATTTTGGGTTATTCTTTGGTGGTAGGTAGAAGAAATATACAGCTAAATTTTTTTTAAAAATACTATTTTGAGCTAGTTTTCCTTTGATTAAAAAAAAAAAAAAAAAAAAAAAAAAAATCAGATGATACCCATTAACCACCAAATGAAAGACCAATTTTTCCTGAAAAAAACAAGGTATAATTCACCTGCATGCACAAATTAGTTGTGATGATATGTACAGGTTTGCGAATACATGTCAAAGTTGCAAAATTGTGCTTAGGCATCAATATTTGTTTTACCCTTAGGTGAGAAGGGGTTGATGACATTAATCTTTAGAAGCCTCATGTGCCATGTCCTCTGTATCTTGTAGGGTCTATTCACTCTCCAAGCACCCAAGTTGCAAGTCTGCAGTCTCTGATCATCTCCTCTAGTAGTCTGAAGTCTGGCAGTCTTCTGTTGTACATTGAATATTACGTTTGGCCTTTTGGAGCCGTATTATCCTAGATCTAATACAAGGTTTCCCAATGAGGGTTCTACAAGAGATTGTTAGGGGTCCCTTGAGCAATAAGCAATTTTTTCCTGTCAGGTAAGTTCCCACTGACACCCATTGATCTTTTTAGCAATCTGTAAGGGGATAATTCTTCCCAATAACCACAAGTGTAAGGAGCATTCTTACCTCTGACTATCACACTAATATAACATGAATTGTAGATATAGTCATTTTTAGCAAGGGTTCCCTGAGACCGGAAAGTTCTGTCAAGGGATCCTCTGCATTGAAAAGGTTGAGAAAGGCTGATCCAATATCTTAAAATATATACAGTATATCCTCTTTCTTATATTAGATATAAGATAGTATATATTAAGATAATGTATATTAAGATATCGAATTTAGACTTTAAATGTATCTCATAACAGTGCTTGTGTTACTGCAGGCATGCACTGACAGTACACAAATGCTTCAGACTTTCTAAGAAAAATTCCATTGAGAGTTAGGTCATGGAAAATATTAAAATCCATGTCCCTTACGCAGCATGTGCCAGCAACAAAAATAAAACAGGTGGGAATGAATGTTATACTTGCTGTGGTTCAGTAAGGCCTAATGCATACTAGAAAAAAACTGGACTATTACCTTAAAAGCTTGCGATAAAAAAAAAAAAAAAACAGAACATTGAAGCCCTATAACCAAATTTTAGAACAGCAGGATCGTCTCACAAGTCAGGAGAACAAAGAACTTGCTGAAAAGAAGAGCAAGACCCATGTATTTTGTCTTTCTACCAGGAACTAGAGTTAATTCCTAGCAAAACTACTCTGAACCCTGAATTGGTGGTTGTAGGGAGAGAATACCAACCTCAGATCTCCAAAAAATTAGGTCTAAAAGATAAGTTTTATCGATCGGTCTACCAGACCATTTAAAGCATTGGTGGTTCAGCTGTACCTCAAACATTTATAATAAAAACTAGTCTATGGACCTTGAAAAAAATCCCGAAAACTTTCGAGACCCTTGTCAAATTCATTAGCAAACTATAGTGGCTGCTGGGAATGCTTCTTTAATCATAATGGGGCCTGGGCTGCTGCTTCCACTGTTTCACCACAGAGGACCAAATATGGCACAATGTCCCTTGATGAGACTTCAAAATAACCCCCTACCCTCCGAACAAAACAGACTATTGAGAAAAGAAAATGGTCTGTGGTGCTTAAATTGCTTCTAAGCCATTTTTTTTCTTGTTTTGGATAAGGTAGGGAGGGGTTGCCTCCTCTATGCTTTTTTATTGCTCTGTCAATGCTGGAAATCATCACCCTCTCTGTTTTTAACTGATGACTAGCGTTGTTCTAAACACATCTGCATTCAATTCATCAGCAATATGGCAGAACAGGAAAATGACAGATTTCCAGCTGCAGTAACACCACAGGGAATCCCAGGTATCTTCTTTGGTTAATGACGTCACTTGGTATTCTCAGTGGTAAATTCCAATGACCGCAGTTGGGAATCTGTCATTTAGTGGTGGGGGTGCGGCATTTACAGATTGTTGGATCATTATGACTGATGTGATTACCACGACGTTTACCTAGCTGTGACTGCCACTGGATTTACTTCTAAGGACAGTAATAAACTTAATTTTAAAAGCCGCAAGAAAGTGTGTTTTTATTTAAATTTCTGTTAATTTTGTTTTACTTTAACCCTCTGTGGGAACAGGTGAGGGGTACTAATGCATCCCTGAATTCATCTCTCTGAAAAGGAGCAGATATCTGGTATCAACTTTATTAAAAAGGGGTCTTCAAGATTTCTCCTCAAGTCATCCCCCCTTCTCCTTTATCGGGTACACATGGACTGGGGGGAAAGGGAGGCGCAGTCAGGCACTCTTGACGAGAGCTTGTGACAACCCCTAGTAACGTTTGCGGAAGATTACTGCATTAGGGGTGGAGGGGAGGGGGAGGAATATTTTGGAGAAAAGAGGGAACAAATACAAGGGACACATCTCACTGAAGTAATATCCCTTGTGCTGATTATTTTAGGTAAACTAGGGTTTTAAATTAAATTTACTCTAGAATACATACAATAGGTCATGGATTTATTGCATCAATATGAACCGAAGAGAGAGTTCTAAACTTGCACACACACACTACTTTTATGTTTATAAATACATAAATAGGACCCTATTCACGCTTGGAAGTAGGGCTATAGATTAGGTTCTGGTGGCAGGAATCAGAGGATTCCTACAGCTAGATTGACAGGTAATTGTATGCGTCTGCTCAGCCTACACAAAACAATGACATGGTGACAGTGGCCACATCTGTCGGCAACTGTTCACACATCCAGTGATTAGCTGCAATAAGGGCAAGATGTTCATCCCTGGATGTAGTCGGTCTGCGTCCAGGGAGATCATATGCATCTAACCACAGGAAATCCTTGGATGTCCATATCTATCTGATCAGCCACAGACAGCTGATGCTACCCTCAACCTGTCATTGCTTTCTACAGCCTGAGCAGGCTCAGCTATTCGCAAACACAAGTCATTTTAGCTGCAGGAATCCTCCATTTCTTGCCACAAAAATTCATACTACAGCCCTTGTGGCAAGTGTGCATGAAGCCTACAACTCATTTTGTCTGTTTTCTAAATATAGCAAACACAAATTAAACTTCTGAGGCCTTCCCTAGATCCTATTTAAAAGGAAAGGACCCTGTGAAAACAGAGTTTAGCTTTAAAAAATGCTGCAAAACCTGGAAGGCCACAAAGATACCTTGAAAACCACTTTTGACAAACACCCACACGTAGTGACTTTATGTCTAAAACTTACAGCTTACTATTACCTATGAACAGAGAAAACAGGTGACATTCGGTTTTCTATTAATCTAAAGCAAGGGATCAAATCAAAATTAACAACTCCTTTTTGTTATGTGGATATCAAGACATATTATTGAATGTAAATAGACGTACTCCATAATCCAGCAACTTGAGGAAACACTTTCTACATGAATGGACTTTGGCCTAGTGCCACCAGCACAGTAAATCTGGGTGCTATGCAAAGTACTTGTTATATTCTGTATTAAATACTGCCTGCACTAATTTAAGTCACTATCACTGTAAACTCTCAGTAGTCACTTTAACAGTGCATCTTAATTTGCTTGTAGCCCTTGTATGTACATAATCCTAAAACAGCTTCAATAAAAATGTTAAGAAAGAGAATTGACCTCTTTCTGTATATTTTAGTCATGTACTTGCAGCCCTCAACTCATTAACACTGGAGAACAATAAGCCTAGAAAAGCATTAGGCCTTGTCTGATATGAAGATTGCTGAAATGGACTACTTTTCAGGGCAGGAGTATCTATGGCAGTGACTCCTATAATAACCAGTCCATCCCAGGAATGACGATTTCAGATAAGGTCTCAAACTTTAAAAAGCACTAGTTCCTTTCTGTGAAATGCAGCTAGCTGTACATATCTGAAACACTCCTCTCATAAGCTGCTGTTAAAACTTAACACCCCTTTCCCAGGGGCTGCAACTGGGGCCAACTGAAAGCTGGTAGGAGGGAAAATGTTTGTTACACAGAGTAAGGAATTAACATTTTCTTTCATGCATCGGAAAACGACACTTGGAATGCAACTGGTTTCACTAAGAACACAGATGGTTACATTTCCAAGCTTTGTTAAACCTGGGTTTAACAATCCCAAATCTGCAAGTCCTAAACCCTATTTTCTCAGGTTTATATCATCATCCATTAATTTAAAATAAAATCATGTCTGTATTAATTACACTTATACATGCAAGTTGTTTTGCCAGTGCTTCACATCAGAGCGTCTTCTGTTCCATGCCAAACCTACCTGAAAAATTTCGAGATACCAGCATTGTAGTGAGAATTGCACCCTACAATAGGAAAAAAAAAAAAAAAACAAAGATTACCGACTGCAATCCTGCACTGTAAAATACACAGTCCTGAGTTTAAAATGCATTTAAAAGTATACAATAAAAGTAAAGAGTTTGAAGCAAAAATAAGGGGGGGGGGGGGCCACTTTCCATGTACCCTACCCAGTTTAAACAAAAAAGAACCCCTCCCGAGATACGTATAAAAATGTGTTTTTTTGAATGTGTTAAAGACTGAACTGCAATATCAGGTTTCAGCATGTGTAGTGCTGCTAGTGTACCCTAGGAATGAATATCTCATTCATGGAAAGGATAGAATACTCTGGTGACACCCTCATGTCACTTCTTTATCAAAGATATTCAGAAAAATGGCCAGTTGTTCAATCAAGGAGAATCCCCTTGACAAGGGAAGACATAGTAGAACAGTAATGTAGAACTCTCATTTTAAAGTATAAGTTCAGCTTTTGAAAGAAAATAATGCACATTCTTTTGCAGGTAAAAAAAAAAAAAAAAAAAAAAAAAGTGTATTTATATTTTTTTTTCCCCTAAGGAGTCTGCAGAGCATTGCACCCACAATCAGCAGATCTCAGGCTCCTGCTGACTCTCAGCATAGCTGTCTGCCCATACCTCCTAAAGGCAGGCAGTTACTTGAGAGCAGGGAGGTTACATGTTCCAGACTAACAGGTCAAACGTAACATTTTTCAAATGTGAACTTATCCTTTAAAATTCCCTACTTTGATTAAAGAAACACCAAATTTAAAAAAAAAAAAAAAAATGGTAAGTTTTATTTTTGGTAGAAGAGACCTTATAAGCCTTCCCTGCCACAAACCTGCTTTAGCTGACTAGTACACTTTTTTCTTGTGTACACTGCCTGCATTCCTAACATAATGAGAACAGAGCTGGGTGCCAGGACAATGTAACTCCATAATGCAAGTTCAGGAGTTATATTATCAGTGACCACTTAAATGGCCAAAGATAGAAGATGCAGGACCCAGAAGAAGATGGCAGCGATAGTGGATGAAGCAATGAGATGTAGGGACCCTGTATCACTGTAGGTGGGTACATATCATGGGACTTTTAGCATAATGTGCAAGAAAGCTGTGCATACCAACAGTTGATGGTAAATGCAATGGAGGAAGCTGTTCACTAGATCTGCTTTGAGACTTTATTATTTGCATGAGATGATGTAACAAAGACTAGATCATATTTTAACCGGGAACCTTCTGCTGGTAGTAATACCAGTTTCAATGTTTGCCTTACATTTATTGTTAGAAGTAAAACCAAAGACCAATTACCTAGAAGTCACTTAACACCCACTTCTTTAATTTCCTCTACTCTTACTATACAAGGCCCACTCTCCTGCAGAGAGTCCTTCAGACTACATGCCAGTAGAAAAAGAAGAAATGACTCACTTTAAGCTTTCTCCGTGCATTGAACTTCCTCAGGCATTCTACAGTCTCTTGTCTGTGCATCATTGAGGCCACTGTTGATCGTTGCTGAAAAGGAAAAAAAAACACAATTACTACACGAACAGATATACATGTGTGCTGCCTGGCTATATTTAGAAACCATGATCACAATATGAGAATTGTAGCTAAAAATCACTAAACAATTACAACTATTTAGATAGCTGATCCATTTGTCTCATAGTCCTTGAAAGGATTCCTATAAAATATATTTACAAATCATCCCCAACAGCCTAGAATATGTCAATATTACCCCATGTGGACAAGCAAGAAACCTCAATGAAACTTACGCAGACCCATGGGTGCTTCAGAGCCTGGTCTGCTGTGATGCGTTTTGCTGGGTTTATTGTCAGCATCTGATTGATTAAATTCTTTGCTTCCGGGGTCACTGTATCCCACTCAGGTGAAGGGAACTATACAGGAAATATTAATGCAACAACACAAACAAATCAAATATTTGTAGGTTATCCAGACACACAAAACGTGATACAACAGCCGCCACCCCCCTTCCATCTTTCTCTGCGGTAACTTTAACAAGACAGTGAAAAGGAAGCATCACACTACCTAAAGCAGTATTAAAACCAAAATCCAAAACTGTAATACACTGCATTTTACCAATTCTTAGATGTGGTAGTTGCATTAGTTTTATTTTCTTTGGCCTTTTTCCTCTATTTTCACCTGGTGATCTGCCAGTAACACACCTTCTGTATTAGAGTGCCCCCACTCTGGATGAAGGAGCAGAAGGGGCACCTTTGGAAAGCAGCACTGTCAGTCTGGGGAGAGGGGAGTGTTATATGTACCAGCAGATTTAAATAAACTAACAAAACTGAAGCCAAACTCCAGCTAAAACTTTATATGCAGTTACAGTAAGCACTTTTATTTTCGGGATAAAGGTTTTACATAAATAAAAGTGGATCATTGTAAGAACCCCTGCTAGTGCTGAATGGTTTGTCTCATCCCTGATACAGATACATTCTGCTGGAAAACTTGTTCTTGTGAAAAACAGCTGATTTAGTGGCAGGATCACCAGGTGAAATTAGAAGAAGGAAAGCCTAAAATTTAAACAAATGCAGCCATAGCATCTAAGAATTGGTAAATATAAATTATATATATATATATATATATATATATATATATATATAAAAAATTTTATGTTTGCTTTTGGGTTTAATATCCCTTTAACATCCCTTTAACACTATGGACAGGAAATTAGGAGAAATGTATCCATCGATCAGCGGCTCAAGAAGCTGATCAGTGTATTTGGACAGTTGTGGTTGCCACTGTCAGAATACAAAGCCCTGGCAGGCAGATACCTCAGTCTATTTGTGTGGATGAAAATCATTTTTTTTTTCCTAACGTTCAGCTAGCTGAACAAAAATAACAAAATCTAACTGTGCATGGCCAGCCTAACTTATTCTTACATGTATTGATGTAAGAAAGTCAACAATATAACCAGGAAACTAGCATTTTCCAAAGATGAGGTCAACACTGGCAGCCTCCTTGGTTCTCTTATGACGGGGTGTCATGTAAGGAACAGATAATACTGGACACAATTGTCTAACCTATCTTACCAATATCTCAACATCAAGCTGTGAATAATATGTGGCCAAGCATCTTATGGGTCAAACACTCCATCCATGCTGTACTTCTGAGACAGCACACACACTGCATAGTGCAGTGCCTCTGAGTTGCTCTTGAACAAGTGTGTTGCTATAGCATATAATATTACACTATGGTTCACACTGGATTTGATTTTGAAATCGTACAACTTCACTTGAAGTCGCAAGATTTCAAAGCCGCATGTCTATGGATGACATCTGTGCGACTTCATGCACAGATGTCTATGCAAGAAGCAACTGAAATTGCAAAAAATAGTTCAGAAACCTTTTTTTATTTTATTTTTTTTTTAAATCAGTGGGACACCGTAAAGTCAGAGTCACGCCAATTTAAATGGTTCCATTGCCAACAATATGATGTGATGTGTCATGTGATTTTAAACTGTCCAATCACATGACAGGTCGCACTGGTGTGAACCTTGGCTTATACCACAAAATAACCTATGTATCAACAGGCAGCATCGTCATAAACCACACAATGCAGTCTAATTTACTGTGATTGCCTGAACAATGTTTATGAAAGCTGAACTTGCCATTAACTTGTCATTAACTTACGTCATATGCTCCAGCTTTGATTTGCTGGTAGAGCTTATGTTGATCTTCATCCCAGAAAGGAGGATAACCCACTAATAATATGTACAGAATGACCCCAAAAAAGAGAAAATGTTTACTAACAGATAACACCAAGCATGTACTGACAAAATCTACCACTCTTGACTGTGCACAGATGTAAAGCTAACGCATGCAAACTGATATATACACTAACATACATATATGAAAACTGCACAGTTCAGCTAGTCTTCTGATCCAATCAAGCCTGCCAGACAGCACAGTCAGGCTCCAGACCTCCAGTACTGCAGTGCTGACCCTCCCTCTCTCAGTCTAAGCACCATTGTGTAAAGAAAGTTTTAATAAAAACAGAAATCAGGTACAAACACAATACAAGTTGGACCAAAAAATACAAGTACTTTTTAATGTTAAAAACAATTAGCAGTTAACTACAAAATTGGAAAAGGGCCACTTCACAACAGTGGGCCAAAATGTGTGCTGTGCATAATGTGCGCACACTCTACAATGCATTGTTTTGATGCACTGCAGGGCTTCCTTCATTTTTTTTAAAACTTTATTTAACATTAACAAAGGAATACTACGTATAACTGGTGATCCTGCCAGTACCACAAACTTTGTCACCTATGGTGGGAGTATTCACTCACTGTACTCATCTATGAAGGAGTAGTACGGTTACCTACGACAGGAGGAGTGACTACAGCATACTTCCCCATCCACAGTACATTCAATAGGGGGGTTCATGGAGGTACCCTGAGCAGTGCTGCAGCAGAGGTAATGTGCTGTCAGCTCACTACAAGACAGTACAAGCTCACAATTTCTGGCAGGATCAACAATATTTTTTTCACTTATCAAACAAATAGAACACATTGCTTTCACAATGGCACGTCTAACAAACCAAAAGGGAGAAACTATGGGAAATGTATAGTTAGAATTTACATACACCTAAGAAAGTTTAGGAATTCAATTTGCTTGCTATACATATGCTCAGAAAACAGGCACTGTGCAGTAAGCCAACAACAAATGTACTGCACACAGAAAAGTCTAACTCCTTACCACAGGCCCATATGTCAACTGGCTTTCCATAAGGGTCTTTCCTTAATACCTCTGGGGAGAGGTAGCCTGGTGTGCCAGCAAAACCTGAAAAACAGAGAAAGCATTATACATATTATACTGAATTTGTTTGGTCTTGTGTATCAGCTTGTTCCATCTCACTAACAGGAATACTACTGTCATTTCATAAAAGTTTACACAGTAGCCATAAAGACATAATATAATTCTGGGTTTAAAGATCTAAGACTAAACAACCAGAGAAAGGTTTTACATCTAAGACATACACATGTATGCAAATATTACAAGACAGACACTTTAAAACATACGTATCCATGATTTTCTGATGTCGAATTAGGGCTGTGCATCTTTTTTTTTTTTATTTTCAACATATGGGACCTATTTCAACATTTGGCACACTGGCAGGGTATGTTACTATGCCAAGTTGACATAGATTGTCTCTACGACCTCTTGTGTTTACAGGTTTTTGCTTGCATTACTGTAGTGAAACTTTAGGCACTTAAAAATATTTGCACATTTGCATAGATCCATTATCTACTATGAGGAATAACCTGGCTAAATGGTCAGCACTTCCGCCTGGCAGTACTAGGGTCATTGGTTCAAATCCCAACCACAGCACCACCTGCTTGGAGTTTGCATGTTCTCCCTGTGCCTGCGTGTGTTTCATCCGGGTTCTCCGGTTTCCTCCCACAATTGGATCCTGTCTAAATTGGCCCTAGTATGTGTATGTATGAATGTAAGTTAGGGACCTTAGATTGTACACCCCTTGAGGGTAAGGGACTGATGTGAATGTACAATATATATGTAAATTGACAACGCTATATAAGTACCTGAAATAAATAACCCAACTACCGTTTCAATGCATATAACATGCAAGCAAATGGCAGGCTAAGGGCATCAGTGCACATCAGGGGCCTTACAAGAAACCCCAAGAGGGGTGGCCACCTAGCTCCATAGATCAGCTACTCTAGTATAGGGAACAGCTCTGCTGACTTCAGTCATTTAATTGATTATAGAACTATGCGTGCTTACCAAACCATGCTTGCTGTTCTCCCTGGACTTCAATGGCAAGACCAAAGTCAGCCAGTTTCACGGCAGCCCCCTTGCATTTGCTGGCCAATAACAGGTTCTCAGGCTACATAGGAATAAAAAGTTCAAGTGAGGTCAGACAAAACTGGACATCATTCTACTCAAACGCTATCCATTTAATATGAGCAAAAACAACATTCTACAAATCTATGGACTAGTGATTATCTGTAAATATGCCTTGTGAAATGCTGGAAATGTATATACTTGTAATACCATTAGCGATCAGTAGGTGGCAATACTAACACTTTTATGTAGCAATGCAGAGGTATTAATCTTCCACTGCCTCAGCTATCTAGTGTTTTGCCTGTCTTATGATTAGCCCAAGAGGCTTATGTGTAAGTGCTTAGGAGTAAGAAGACGGTAATGCTCTGGTGAGTGAAGGGAAAACCACTGCTAGCAGATGTGTAAGAGGGCACTGAAGTGAGGGAAGAGAACAAAAGTGCAGTTGGTTAATCGCGTGTATGCAATCTGTAAGTATTGTGCGTTGGGAGTTCTAGTTCTTATGAAGTTGTAAGTATAACTGGATAGTTGACCCAAATAAACAAAAAGCTCATCCTTACTTATGACACTCATATTATTAACAATCATATTCTACACACACAGACCTTCTAGATGGACATTTGGACACAATATGAACCACATACAAATTTCACAGGAACCACATTCATGTGCAATTCACATGTGTTTCAGTGTGGTGTAATTTAATCTCATTCATTTTGAATGGGCTGAAATCACACCGCATTGCACCAAAGTCATGCATGCACCAATTTTGAAACCGCACTGCAACCAGATTGCATGATCATGTTGTACTATGTTAATCGGTGCAGGCAAACGCACTGCCTTTGCGACCTGCTTTTGGAGGCGGGGGGGGGGGGGGGGGGTTAAGATTGCACTGACACCCTCTGCAGATTGCAAGGGCAGTGTGAATTGAATGTGGTGTGTAAAACACGCATAATCGCCAGTTTCCAGCACCACATTCTAGAGTGAAACTAGGCTTAAAGTGGAGCTCCGCCCAAAAGGGGAAGTACTACTTTAAGCCTTTGTCCCCCGCTCCCCATTAAGGACCGGCACCTTTGGGGAGCGGGTACCTGAATTTGACAGGTACCCGCTCCCACTTCCCCAGCGATCAGAAGCGGAAGTTGCCCTCCCCATAGTCTTCTGGGACATGTGATAGATTCCAGAAGACTACGGGGCCATTCACAAAGCACAGCGCTTCACGCACATGTGCAGTGGGCACCCGGCTGTGAAGCCGCAAGCTGTCATAGCCGGGTGCCCACAATGAAGATGCCGGGGAGAGCAGACAACCGGTGAAAACAGCCGTGGTGAGGACACCGCTGGACCGAGGGACAGGTAAGTGTCTGTATTTTAAGTTGGCAGCTACAGTTTTTGTAGCTGCTGACTTTTATTTATTATTTTTTTTTTTTAGGTGGAACTCCCCTTTAAGTGGGCAGCACAGACACTCAGTGGTTAGCACTTCTGCACTGTGGCACTGAGGTTCATGGTTCAAATCCTAGTTATGCTTCCTCCCACACTCCAATGACATGTTACTCCTTTAAGTCTTATTAAACACAAATATTTAAAAAACGCACACAGGCAGGGTTTTCATGACAGAAAAGCCCTTTTGGTCATAAATGCTTCCCCTGCCTGTCAGTGGTAATGCACACTGAGCGGCATGTGTGCCGCTCAGAGTACATTTACAGCACCCGCTCTGTGCCGTGATGAAGTCACTCCTATGAACTCCTGTGAATGTACAGGAGTGACGTCATTGTGGCCCGGAAATTTAAGCAGCTGAACAGATCGAACCTGGAAGGAAGAGCAGAATATGGCAGTGCCAGAGCACTGACAGCACAGTGCTGGAGGACAGCTTTTGACAGGCAAGTCCGTCACAATGTACCAGTATGCAGTGCATGCTAGCACATTATGGTATAAACCTACAAATGTATTTCCTGTAGCGCATACATGGGAAATATTGGACCTGACATTGCCGCTTAAGAGAAGGGACTGATGTGAATGAATGGTATGTAAAGTGTTGCATCAATTGAGAGCACTATATCAAGGTCTGTAATAAATAATTATACAAGACAAACGTCTTTTTTTGGTTATACCTCTGAATGCACCCAAGTGAACAGTTTGCTTCAAATTCACCACCTTAAGAGAGCAATAATCTGATACTGATTTTAGGGAAAAAATAAAACTACCAAATATGCCAACGTCCTATACAGGATGTCTATAGGGCTAGTCTACTGCCTTTTACCAGAGGTCCTTATATTTGCTAAACAACACTGATGCAGCTGAACTTTCATATACAATATGTCATTCCGTCATGCTGTGTCCCTTTATCTGCCAATCCACCTGTTATAAAGGCTATTCCTGGGCCTGCAGCATGCATCCTTGATTTCCATGTATTTGGTAGAACTGCAATTACTAGTAGACAAGAGCGTAGTCTGCAGGTCTTATGTCACAGGCCAAGCATGGAACACACAGAGGTAAGGGTAATTTACAGAAAACGCACTACTTCAAAAAAAAAAAAAAAAAAAAAAAACCTGGTACAGCCTAACACACAAATTCACTGATTTCAATGGAATTCCAAAATTTAACCATGTCTGTTTTCCTCTCAGATAATATCAACCTGTCCAGTAATGATGTAGTCATTTATTAGTAACAAACCAGGCAAGAATTCAAGGAAGGATTCCTAAGCCACTGGACATAAATACACGAAGAAGAAATCGCCAATATTACCTTAAGATCTCTGTGGACGATGTCATGTTGGTGGATGTGGTTGACACTCTCCAGAATCTGGTGAATACAGTGACTGCAAAACCAAAAAAGACAAATGATAAGTATTCCTCAAACAAAAGTGGATTTTGTCTAGCTGCAGGCAAGAAGGTAGCAAATTGAATAGTGGAGATATACAATAGTTATATCATTGTAAGTGTTTCTTTGACAACTAGTAGTGTGATTTCTTTTTTTTTTTTTTTTCATTCCAGAGGATATAAGAGAAATCATTTTATGGTGACACTAGAGTTTAGAAACCTGAAGGTTGTAGCCTACAGCAACCAGTCAAACTGCATTACTTACTATTGGCAACAGGCCTTATATTTTCTTGTTCCCTTTTCCCTAATTCATCTCCTAGAGTGTTACAAGAGGGTGTTTGCTAACAATAATGCAGCACTAAAATTACAACTATATACAGCGAGTAAAATAAGTATTGAACACGTCACCATTTTTCTCAGTAAATATATTTCTGAAGGTGCTATTGATATGAAATTTTCACCACATTCGTAACAACCCATGCAATCCATACATACAAAACAAATAAATTCAGAAATTAAGTTTTGTGTAATAAAATGGAATGACAAAATCGAAAAAGTATTGAACACGCTAACTGAAATGTATTTAATACTTCGTACAAAATCCTTTGTTGCTAATGACAGCATCAAGACGCCTCCTGTATGGAGAAACTACTCGCATGCATTGCTCAGGTGTGATTTTTGCCCATTCTTCCACACAGACTCCAAAACTTGAATGTTCCGTGGGCCTCTTCTATGAACTCTGACCTTTAGTTCTTTCCATAGATTTTCTATTGGATTCAAGTCAGGTGATTGGCTGGGCCATTCCAGCAGCTTTATTTTCTCTTTCTTTGAAACCAATTGATAGTTTCCTTAGCTTTATTTTTGGGATCATTCTCTTGATGAAATGTCCGCCCTCATTTCATCATCATCCTGGTAGACAGCAGCAGATTTTTATCAAGAAGGTCTTGGTGAATTTTTCCCACTCATCCTTCCCTTCAATAACATGAAGTTTGCCAGTACCGTATGCTGAAAAACAGCCCAACACCATGATGTTTCCACCTCCAAACTTCACTGTTGGTATGATGATTTTGGGGTGATGTGCAGTGCCATTTGACCTCCAAACATGGTGAGTAATATGGCATCCAAAGAGCTCAATTCTGGTCTCATCTGACCAGACTGTTTTCTCCCAGTATTTCACAGGCTTGACTAAATGTTGTGCCGCAAATATTAAACGAGCTTCACCTTGTTTTTTCTTCAGCAATGGAGCCTTGCATGGTGAGCGTGCATACAGGCCATGGCAGTTGAGTGCATTACTTGTTTTCTTTGAAAAAATTGTACCTGCTATTTCCAGGTCTTTCTGAAGTTCTCCACAAGTGGCAATTGGCTCTTGGACAACTCTTCTGATAATTCTTTTCACTCAGAATCAGAAATTTTGCAAGGACCACCTGGCCGTGGCCAATTTATGGTGAAATGTTTTTTCCACTTCCGGATTATGACAACAGTGCTCACTGGAACATTCAGACGTTTAGAAATCCTTCTGTAACCAATGCCATCAGTATGTTTTGCAACAATAAGGCTGCGAAGGTCTTGAGAGAGCTCTTTGCTTTTACCCATCATGAGATTTTTCTTGTGTGACACCTTGGTAATGAGATATATGGGCCATCAGTTGAGAGTGAACTAGATGATATTAACTCGCACTGACAAGGGGCAGGATTGCTTTAGCATTACTGATAGATGTCAGCTGGCGGCTTGGCTTTCCATGCCTTTTTGCACCTCCCTTTCTTCATGTGTTCGATACTTTTAACTGTGTCATCCCATTTTGTTACACAAAACTTAATTTCTGAACTTATTTGATTTCTTTGTATGAATGAATTGCATGGGTTGTTACCGACATGTGGTGAAAATTTCATGTCAATAGCCCCTTTAGAAATATATTTACGTAGAAAAAAGGTGTGTTCAATACTTCTTTTACCCACTGTATGATGGGGAGAAATTGGACTATTATATGTAGCCAATATAGCATTAAATATTTTCTCTTCAAGCATTCCCTTCTCTTAGCATGCATCAATAACCTTGTCAAGGAGTCACTGGAGGGCTCTGGCATAGAGATCTAACTCCCAAAGCAAGAAGTGACCTAAGAGCCACATTTCTATAATGAGGTCATCATTGAATGTTAACTGTCAAGTTTTTAGTAAAGGAATTACATAATTGTTATTTTAGATTTAATAAGTAATACAATACAGGGGCTTACTTTTATGGGCTTACTCACAGTTTGTCAATGACACCAGTGTCACTGGAATATTCCTGTACTTATAGCAGTAATTTGCCAACTGGGGCGTGTTGTGGCACTGCAGGGAACTTGAAAGGGGTGTGTGTAGATAAATATTGCATGTACCTGATGTAATAAAACAAGGATCACATTCAGCATCTTGTAGTACAGCATTAGCAGAGAGGAGAGTCGCAGCCCAGGCCAAAGTTGTCTGCAGCTGTGTACTCCAGTGACTGTTTTGGACAAGCCTACGTTCTATTTTGAAGCAAGCATTTGACCATAACAACGCACGTTTTTACGGTAAAAGGAAAATGCACCACTAAAGAGAAGCCTGTAGCTGCATTATTTTAAATAAACTTTTTCTTGAAACATACTTTTAGGGAGACTAAACATAAATGCTGTTATCAGCTGCCTCGAGGACAAAAGTTATTGTACTCCTGGGACCCACAAGAGAAATATGACCAAAAAAAGCTTTAGACATATTTCTCTTAAGTTCAGCCATTTCCAAAGGGGTGGAAAAAGCCTGAGAACCAGTGACTTACAGAAACATCAATCTACGCAGTGTGTAAAAGCAACCACTTTGGAGAGAATTTGTCTCCAAACTACGTTGTGTAACTATCCAGTCCCACCAACACAAAACTAATGTAAACCTGCCAAAATCAAAGGCACTTTCAACTGACAACATACATAGACATCACCTTCGGAAAACACTGAAAGCTAAAGCGATCAGCTGATCCAGTTATATCTAGGAGCTAACAGCACTTTGTAAAGCATTAAAGTGATTGTAAACCCTTCCGTATACCCAGTGAAGTGACTATCCTAAGGTGATCACAGAGATGAAACAAATCCTCCTACATTTATTTATTTCAGGTACTTCTATAGCGCTGTCAATTTACGCAGCACTTTACATATATATATCATGCATTCACATCAGTCCTGTCTAAATTGATCCTAGTATATGTATGAATGTAAGTTAGGGACCCTAGATTACATAAGTTGTACCTGTCTATCTGCAGTCTAGTCTTCCATTCAAAGTGCTGAATTTTAAAGCCTGTCAGAGTTCATAAAAAAAAAAGGGAACAGACAGCTGAAGTTACACACTGTATAGTGGGGAGAGTTCTGAGAGCTGATTGGAGGGAAGGGACTCCCCCCCACACACAGCTCACAGGAACAGAGCTGAGGCTGTCAGTCTGTTGGAGATCCCTCCCGTCACCATTTTTCTCTTGGTGTCATGAAAACTTGTCAGAAGTGACTAGCAGAGGAAGCAGCAGACAGCAATGACACTTTGTGCTCTGGACTGAGACAAGTACACACTATAGAAGGATATGCTTTGTGTATATTTCATGTCTGAGGTTTACATCCAGTTCAAGATCACCAATGGAAATGATGTTTAAGGCTATTTATCTGGAAGTATATTTACTCAGAAAGAAGCCTGAAGGAATTTGCCACAAGACTACATAATAAAAATATAAATAGCTTTTTTTTTTGTAGGGAGGCCAGATAACCCAGATTATTTATTATTATTATACAGTATTTATAAAGCGCCAACAGTTCACTCAGCGCTGTACATTACAAAGGGGGACAGAACATGTGACAGTACAGTAACAATACAATGCGATACACGAGGGGTTCGTGGGCCCTGCTCTTTCGAGCTTACAATCTAGGAGTTTATTTGAAAAAACACAATACACTTTAAAGTGTATGTATGGGCAAAATGTAAAAAATATTTCTCTCTGAATTTCAATTATTTCATGCCAATCCTAATCTCAATCATCTTGAAGTTTGTAAATTTACTTTAATATTTCCACCCATTAGCTTCCTTGAATTCTGTGACAGAGTATACCCTGAGTGTAGGTACTGCTGTGTCACACATTTCAGAGAACCTGCCTTCTGAATTACAAAGAAGTCTAAAGAGGCGGAGTCAATACAGGAATCCACACTTACAGGCAGCAAGGTACCATGGGATATGTAGTTCTTAAAAAAGTAAACAGAAGCTGCAAAGCATGCTGGGAATCCAGGAAGTTGTGGAAAGCAAAGACCAGTAGACAGGCAGAACTCACAACCTGAAAGGGGATTTTTCAAGTAATCTTATAGTGAATTGTCAAAATAACAATTGTTTATATTGATATTACAATACTGAGGTTCTAAAATGAAAATGTATGCTGTGACCATTAAACAGCTTTAAAAACAATTTATAATAAGAAAATGTTCATTCTAATGTTAAACACTGTTTTATAAGCAAATAAAAACATTCTGTTTATAATTTCCCACAAGATTCACATAAAACTTTCCCCCAGGATTCACACATTTATCGAATTAATTCAACTGGAAAAAAATGTGTTAAACTGGGGTAAGAGCTGTATAAATCTAGTGTGAGAACATTTATAAATCAACCCTTAAATGACCATATAACTAGCTTTAAATATAAATTTGTTTGGCAGCCAAAAACTTGTGCACTCTGCTGCATATGTAAATCCCACCCCTTTTCTGTAGACATTGAGTGTGGAATTGTCCATCTACACCTAATTACTAGCCTTTAAAGTGATGGGTGGCCTCAACGACCAGCAGGGAAGCTCAGAAGCACAGCCAAGTTTAACTTTTAAAGGAAAGGCCAAGCTTTACATAGCTTCAGGTATTAAAACTGTGGCAAAGTGTGCTTACAGGAACGGTTTTCACGCTGCTTATGCATTTCTTTCTTATAGTCAGTTTGAACTGACCAGGTTTGACAATTTACTTTATACAGTAAGGCCT